TAAATCAAATCAGCCGAACTTATTCATTCAAGTCGACTAAAACTAGTATTTGATTCGGCGCATGTAAAATGCGACGTTTAAACCGGGCCTTAGAGAGTAAACTGCAGGTGAAGTTAACGCAACCGGTACCAAGCTTCCTAATTTGGCCCCCCGAAAAAATTCTTTAGGGGCGAATGACGTCATCTCCATGTTCGTCCATGTACTTTCTTTCGGGTGTTGTGCAATATTGCGGACTCTAGCGGATAAGTTGTTAGTTTGAAGTTAGTGTTAACGGCTCTTATTAACCTTACAGACTTGCAGCTGTCTTCACGAAATGTGTACGACTTTTCGTATGAACACAAAGCTGTAGTTTGACTGGTTGTTGTGTACCCTCTTCTCTTCGACCAAAACCAACGCTGCTTTCTGCTGAATATATCAACGGAGGATATGTGTAGTTTTACTTGGCTGGCCTAGATTTCTGTGCGCAAAATGTGCAACATAAACCCAGCGAAAGTGTTTACATAGGAAAAGAGTTCAACTCCCACAGGATTGTTTTGGTTCACCAACATGTCAGTCCGGCTCCGTCTCATTGTTTCGGAAATGAAAATGCTCAATAGCTGTTCCCCCAAAGCCAAGGCGATTCAAAGTCGTGTTCGTAAACAGAATAATTGTCCTAGTGTTGGTAATAAAGCACGTCGTCTCGCATACCGACGGAACAGGCAACGTTTGTGTCGATTTACACGGTCCGGAATCGCATGAGTTCCGGTCAGTATAAAACATGGACTGCGGACTGCGGTCTGCGGTCTGCGGTCTGCGGTCTGCGGACTTCGGACTTCGGACGTCGGACTTCGGACTGTGTCTAAAACACGGACTGAGGTATGAAATGCGGACTAAGCATTACGGACTGGGTATAAAACACGGACTCAGGTATAAAACGCGGACTGCGGACTAAATGCGGCCTACAGACTACAGTCCGTGTATTATACTGACCGGTCGTGACTAATATTACGTAATACATGTATAAACGAAAACGAACCCACTCGTATGCAAGTGCATACGATCAATTCATTTGTTTTCGCCCCTGCTGGAGGGAGGCCAATTTCACGTCTACTTAACAGCTCAGGCACAAAATGCTGTTCCGAGAATTTTTGCTTTTTTAAGATACCAAACCTACCAATACTCGAACGCACCCTTTAATCTACGATTACTACTAGTTTACCGAAATATTCCGTTTGGATGAAATTTTCCCAAAATGTCACATGCCTACCAAAGGATGAAGAAACCCGTTCATCTATTAGTAAATGTCAATATCAGCTTCCATTTTTAAGAAAACGGCGTCATTTCTCTGCTGACAGTTCAATTTTGACCTGTTCTCAACTGTATTAGGTAACCCGGACAATCAATTGGTCTGTTTTGTACGTCTCGTATCAGACGAATAATGATATGTCTGTTTGATGCGTCATCCAGATACACTAAGTTGTTAAGTCGTCTGCCGTCGACTTGTTTTCAATATCATGTATAAAGTTAAAGTCTGTGTATAAGCCAAGTGGCTTATCAGGCCGGATCTTATCCCGGTTAATCCTGTAGCATGAAACGACTTGAAGTATTTCTACTCCCCCATGGATGAGATGTTAGTCTATCGCAGGGTTACCTCCAGCATTAAATTCGCCCGTACCCATTTATACACCGGGGTGGAGAGAGGCACTGTGAAAGTGAAGTGTCTTGCCCCATAACACAACACGATGTCCCCAGCCAGTATGACGTGTAGCAAGACTTATTTTAAATCTTCTTGCCTTGATTTCCAGTTCCTCCTCAAGTGAAAAATTCTTCTCCTCCAAGGGTCGTCAAACCCGTTGGTGAAGAAGAAGTCAAACTGGTCTGTAACGTGAGAGATGCTCAGAACTACACGTGGTATAAAAACGGTAAAGCCATTCTTCAATCGTCCGGACGTTACACAGTAAGGAGTAAGAGATTTCTACGAATAACCGGCCGCGTTCAAAAATCCGACAGTGGAGTGTTTGTTTGCGTGGCAGCGAACAGTTATGGAAGTGCAAACTGCACCATAAGATTGATAGTTGAAGGTATAACTTTTTTTTTATCTAAGTGGCCGCAAACTTATTTAATAAAGGTATTTATACCATGCCATAAAAAAATACAACCAATCAGAGTGCAGGAAAGCAGTTGTATACTCGACGGTATTACGCCCAACCTTTCCATCGTGCGTCGCGCGTATATCGCATGTGTTGTGCTGGTCACTGTATTTTTCCATGGCATGGTAAACCGTATAAAACAGTTATGCAGTGATTTCTCGTGGCCCACCATGGAACATCCAACTTGTTCCCAATATTTTCTTGGTATACACACTCACATAAAGGCTCGTGTGAGAAAATACAAGTGACCCATGGGATATTTCATGCTATACTACTCAAAAGTGTTGCATAACTAGTATGAACTGGCGTTACATTGTTTCTATTTTTAAGCATACAAAGTCTCCATACAAATCTCTATAAATTTGGGTAAAAAATTTCTCCGCATATCTCGCATAAGAAAAATTGCTGTGACCAGAATTTTGGCGAGAGTCTTTGCATATTTACCTTCTTTCATTTCCCAGATTCTGGACTTTATCTATCGACC